CACTGGTGACCAGTTTTGTAAACCTTCACCCAGGTCTCAATAAAATGCCACATCCCCTACTCCCCCCACCACACACACAATTCTGTGAGCACGGTTCTACTCCACACCCATGGGGTCACCACCTGTGGGGATCGCCTCAAGACAGTGAACAACAATGCAACATGCCATGCTCCCCAGCAAGACACATACACACAGGGCCGTGGCAAAGGTTGGCAAGGCTGGCCAGCTCTTTGATCTGGGGCTTCCATCTTGGCTTCTACATCCTTGTCAGCAGCCCCACCCACCCACCGCCTGCATCAGGCCACCTTCCCCCGCCCCCACCTCCTCAGAGCCTCTGCTCTGGCTGTTCCCACACCTGCAACGCCAACCCCCTCCCTTGATGTCAAGGTGAGTCCTCCATCTGCACACAGCTGTCGCGGGGTCAGCCCCTTTACGGCCCCCACCCAAATCCAAATGATGATTCCCCTCCATTCGTCACACCCAGAGCCTTTGTCGAGCGAGGGCCATTATCCACCGGGCCCTGTAATTACACAGACAACACACCTCCCACTCGGGCCTTTGAGTCTGGGCAGACTTATAAACATAACACGTCGGAAAACTTTATTGCTATTCTTTCTCGTCCTTGCGCTCCATTATAAGAATAAAGGTGCACGCAGGTGCAGGAAGCAGGAAGTCCCTCGGACCTGACCGTGACGGATCGTCTGGGACGCGATCCTCCAGGCATGTTCTGCTCTCATCCAGCGACATGGAGACCAGCCCCAGACAGCAGCAGGCCCTCGCGCCAGTCACACGGCTGTAACCTGCGTGTGATGCACCACAAGGACCTGCCTGGTTGACAGGGCAAGGGTGGGTGGTTTCCAGGGCTGCTCCAACCCTCACGGCGCTGTGTCACGGTGGCTGCCCACAGATGTTCGTGCATACAAAGACTAGTCCGTCTACCTCTCTCTTTTTTTTTGGCCTGGGGCGACATGGCTTTATTATTAGAGCAAGCCAGGGTTTCAAAGGCCTTAGGAGTTGGCATTTGGTTCCTTCTTCTTGCCAAAGGTGGGCACAACATTGAGAAAACGCCGACTGTTCTGCATCCACCACTTGGCCCGAGCAGGCTTCTTCTTCTTCTCCTATTTAGCCACCTTGGGAATTTGGCCTCTCCTTTCCCAGCACGAGCCAGGGAACCACGGACTTTGCCTCTAAGTACAGGCCAGTTAGTTACTTCTAGAGTAGCCAGGGCCTCCGGCCCACACTGGTTCAGGGCAGCCCCATCCTCCAGAGGCGAGCCTCCCCGAAGAACCACCTGATCTTCGGGGCTTGAACGAAGAGCTGCATAAAGGCGGCTGAAAGGCAGCGCCTGCTCCGGATACGGCGAAGATGGAGCCGAGAAAGAGGAAGAACTTGTCTATCTCATGGAGGGACCCTGGTGGGGTAGTGGGCCACCCACTGGGCTGCTAATGGCAAGGTCAGCAGTTTGAAACCACCAGCTAGTCTGTGAGAGGAAAGAAGAGGCTGTCTATCCCATCGAAAGCTACGGCCTTGGCAACCCACAGGCACAGTTCTCCACTGTCCTCAGGCAGTGACCTCTGTGTGCATGTGCACAAAGGCCTTTGGAGGAACGGTGGGATTCTGGAGTTCCGGGACTTGAAATGCTAGCAGCTCGTCTCAAAGTAAAGGGCGCCCTAGTGGCCCGGTGCTTAAGCACTTGGCTGTGAACCAAAGCGCGGGCGGTCTGAACTCTCCAGCCACTCTTCCGAGGAAAGACGTGGCCGCATCTGCTTCTGGGACCCAGCCAAGCTTAACTCACTGGCACGGAGACAATGCCGACTCGCAGCGCCCCCCTGTGGATTTCCGGAACCGTCAACTGTTCACGGGAGTAGAAAGCCCAGTCTTTCTCCCAAGGGGCTGCTGGTGGTTTCAAACTGCCGACCACACGGATCAAAGCCCAGCTCGTAACCACTGCACTGCCAGGGCCCCTGCGGGAACACTTAGAGCAATGGTTCTCGACCTTCCTAGTGCCTCGACTCTTTCATCCAGTGCCTCATGGGGACCCCCAACCATACATTATTTTCATTGCTTCTGTTATGAATCTGCAATTTTGCTACTCTTATGAATCATCATGTAAATGTCTGATAGGCAGGATGTATTTTCGTTGTTATAGATTAAACATAATTAAAGCATAGTGATGAATCACAAAAACAATGTGTCATTATGTATTGTGGAATATGTATTTCTAATGACAAATCAATGATATGTTGTCTTGAAGCAGGGTGCAGCATGGGTAACAGTCTTCACGACGGGTACTCATAGGTGGGCGTATCTGCCTGTGGGCGGACCCGCCTGGTGACAGATAGAGGAGCGGTGTCTCGGTTCCTAAGACGATAGGAAATACGTGTTTTCTGATGGTCTTAGGCGACCCCTGTGAAGGGGTCCTGACCCACAGGTTGAGAAGCGCTGACTTGGAGCCTTGGAAACGCTATGGGGCAGGTCTGCTCTGGCCTCTGGGTTGTTGTTGGTGGAATCCACTCTGTGGCCAGGGGGTTGGCACCAGAGTCCCAACCTTCCCCAGTAGAGTGAAGAGTGCCTTTACCTTGTAAATGACGAATTATAATGCCGCTGCCCTGTGTGACAGAGGCCCACAGAAGAAGGTGGAAGGCAGCCAAGAAGGAGAATCTTTGATGTGGGTCTCAGAGCGGGTGAGGAGTTTTCTAGCGCGATCTGGGCGGGGCACTCCAGGCAGAGGACACAGCAGGCAGGTAGGCGGGCTGGTTGGGGAATGCAATGGCCACAGTGTTGGAGACATGCACGGGGGTAGATAAGAAAGGACAAGACAGAGCCCAGAGCCCAATTCTCGAGGGTCTACAATGCCAAGACAAGATGTTCTTCTAGATTCTTAAATGAATCTGGCCTACCACCACCCTTTTCATAAAACAAACACATAAAAAATGATTCAGCACCCCCGCCCCCTGCAAATAAAAATGTTTGTACTAACCTATAATCTTGGAACGAGTATAGAAATCTGCTTCTGTAGCCTCCTGGATTGCTCCAGCACCCCCAGGGGTGGCATAACCCCCTGGGAAAAACAGCCCTGGGGGCGCAGTGGTCATGTGTTGGGTTGCAAACTGCGAGGTCGGCTGTTCAAAACCACCAGCCGACACGTGGGGAAGAAGGGGCTTTCTACTCCTGTGAGAGTCAGTCAACTCCATCCTGTCCTGGGTGTCACTGTGAGTCGGCATTGGCTTGATGGCAGTGGGTCTGGAGTCTGTACACCCTGGGGAGCACAGCTTCCAGCTTCTTCATGGGGAGTGCCTGCCATTGCTGGGGCACTGTGAACCCTCAGAAAGGCCTAAGCCCCTCTCTGAGTTGGACACATGCCCTGGCGTGCGTTTGCGGCTGGATGGGGGCTTGGTTTGTCTCTAGCAGGGCACACAGGGCAAGCCTTCGGCGTCCACCATGACTCTGGGTTCCACAGTAGGAGAAAGATAGCAGACAGCACCCCTGAATGAAGGAGCCTCCTCCTCAGGGTGCCCGTCTCTGGGCAACTCTCAAGAAAAGGTAGACGCTGCTGGGAGTGGGTTCTTGCCTGGCGGAGGGGGGTGGGGGGCCGGGTCCCAACAGTCCATGCTGTGCCCCGAGGGCTGTGTATCCAGCACTTACTAAACTTGTCCCCCTCGAATGTCACCCCGTCTTGCAGCTGAGGAAGCTGAGGCCCAGAGAGGCGACACCATCAGTCAGTGATATGGACCCTGGACCTGCCAGAATCGACGTGTGCAGCAGTGGGATGAGCGAGGGCCCTGGGGGGGGGGGGCGCGCGTGGTTGGGAGGCCCACCTTTTGCAGGTGTGCTCCGCACAGCTGATGGCAGGAAGGCTGAGGGAGAGTCCAGCGACGCTTAGTGACCCAGAAGGGTCAGAGGGCTGGAGACTGCTTCCCCACTAGCAAGCTCTGCCCAGGGAGCAAAGGCATCCCGGGAAAGCCGCCATGCCCGTGTGGTCCCACTCCCCACGTGGCGTTTGGGGACACGAGTGGAGGCAGCTGTTCCAGCAACTCATCGGCGGCTTGGGGTGGACAAGGTTCTTTAGGAAAGTCTGGATCAAGTGCCACAGAGGGTTACTAACATGTGCTGCTGACCGCTGGCCATCGGTTCAAACCCAAACCCACTCCAAGAAGGAGAAAGATGAGGCTGTCTGCTCTCGTCAAGAGTCAGAGCCTCTGGTATGACTGAAATATTGATTTGTATGACATGTGGATTATGTGCCTATAAAACTGATTTTTTTTAAAGATTCACAGCCTTCCAAGAGGGTAGGGGAAAGGAGGTGGGGGGAGAAAGGGGGCACCGATCACAACGATCTGCATATAACACCCCACCCCTGCCAAGGGGGATAACAACAGAAAAGTGGGTGAAGGGAGACAGACAGGAAAATGATCAAGGGCTCATGAGGGAGGGGGAGGGGGGAAAATGAGGAGCTGATCCCAAGGGCTCAAGTAGAAAGAAATGTTTTGAGAATGATGAGGGCAACAACCATACCAACGTGCTTGACACCATGGATGGATGGATGGACTGTGATAAGAGATGTATGAGCCCCCAATAAAATGGTTAAAGAAAAAAGATTCTCAGCCTTGGAAGCCAAAGGAGCAGCTGGACTCTGTCCTACGGGGTTGCGACACATGGGAACAGATGTGGGTTCTTGGGGTGCTGCCCCGGCACAGCTTTCTGGACCCAAAATCGAGATGCATGTTTGACCATCTGCTTCGTGTTGTTTGGGTTTTCATTTCCAGATTTTTGCCCCCCATCCCTCTCTCTCTCTCTCTCACACACACACACAGTGTCCGGTGACACCCAGACACACCACAGTCTCCTCTGCCTGCGGCTTTGCAGGACACACAGTCCATCTGTTGCTCACCTCCCGCGTTGTGGGCGAGTGAAGGAGCCAGTCTCCGCCGGGAGGACTCCTGCTGGACGGGGTGAGGGCAGGGAGTGGCTGCCCTACACAGACGCGATGAGGCACCTACCTTGGCTTCGAAGAAGTCCTTGGCACCCTTGACGCCCTCGTGAGCAACGTCAATCTCGGAGAGTTTGGCCAGTGCCATGAGCCCACTGTCCTCCTGCAGCTCCCCAGCCGCGGCCTTGTGGAAAATGAGCAGGAACTACGGGGAGAAGCAGAGGGGGAGGCTGTTAAGAGTTTCAGTGGCCACCATGAGATCTCCCAGTTGGTTCAAGTCATCCTTCTAACCTTCTCTCTGCCACAGCACAGAGGGAGGCATGTAACGACTTACGGATGTACCTCTAACCGTCAAAAACTCAAGCATGGAGAAGCGGGAGCCCTCGTGCCTACTTGGCAGGGGTCTAAATGGATTCAAACTCTTCAGGACGTGTTGGAAACAGCATTGCTATGGGTGACACCGAGCATGGCGGACTGAAATGGCCCCAGTGCCGAGACAGCCCCGCGACCAGACCATCACCAGGTCTCTCTCCCTGGCTCATCTCAGTCTGCAGGCTCCACGGTGACCAGTCAGGCCTCACAGCAATGTGCCAGCGTCCAGTAACAGATGGGTGGTGGACAGGACCTGAGTTCGGGTCTCGGCAGGGAAGGCAAGAATTCTATGGTGGAACCACCAGTGTTGCCTTTGGAAATATCCCCACCCCTACCCCCAATACAACACATACACTCTGCCAACCACTAATTCTATTCCTGGACACCCACGCATTGCCCCCACCCAGCCCCGCCCCAAAAAAAATCAAAACAAAATATTCACTCAATATTTTTTAAGAAGCATTATCTTGAAAAGCACAAAGTCCTTCCCTTACAACGAGAGAAAAATCAAACAGAACCATCTATATATTTTTTAAATAAAAATGGAATTATTTGCCAGTTTCTTGTTCCTTGTGTGCCCCGTTTCAGCCTGAGAGTTCACTTTGCACACAGCTGCCATAGAGGCTTCAGAAAACTGGGTTTGGGGTGTATTTTAAATGCCCTGCCATTTGCGGCTGAATTTAACCCAGGTCAGTGGTTCACAACCTTCCTGATGCCACAACCCTTTCATGCAGTTCCTCATTCAATGGTGAGCCCCCAACCATAAAATTATTTTCATTGCTACTTCATCACTGTCATTTTGCTACGGTTATGAATCGGGCAACCCCTGTGAAAGGGTCGCTAGACCCCCAAAGGGGTCACAACCCACAGGTTGAGAACCGCTGGCCGATGCACTTCATGACCCTTGGAAGTTTTCCCTGCCCGGTGTTAAATGTTTGGAAAAACTTTCTCCCCTTGCCGAAGTTCCCATCAGTAACAACCTGTGCTTTTGCCCACGGCTTTAACCAAAACAAAAGCAGGTGAATCTTTAATCGCCACCATCTATTCCGACCTGTCTTGTGAGGTTGATGGTTAACCTGATCTTCTTCCAGGTGGCTGTTCCTCAATCCTTGCATCGCCGAGTGAGGAGGTCACCCCGTTCCTCCAGAGTCAAAACGTGACCTGAACGATTTCTTCCGGGGGCCAGTCTCTGCTGAGGCCTCGTCTCCAGAGAGCGGAGGCGAGAGTAAGCAAGCGGCCGCCTTTGCCCGGGCAGCGCCAACATCCTCTGATCGCCTGCCCACGGTCGTTTTCGGGGTCTGCTGGTTGGGTTTTGAGTCCCCTTGAGTAAGGAGTTTCCACAAATGTCATGGTCACCAGCTGCCCTTCAGCTTCGAGAATGTATCCTTCCCCCGTCGGAAGAAGAGAAATCAACGTACTTCCTGCCATCCCAGTAAGCCAGGCGACCCTGGTTTGGCTTGGCGCTGGGACCGGCAGCATCCTTCCTTGGTGCATGGAGATGCCAGGCCTGGCTCGGCGAGCTGATCACAGCAGCCAACAATAGAACAGTCAGAATACATCTGTGGGACCCCCAGCCCGCCCCCCCAGGAGATGACCTTTCCAGGGCCACAGATGAAACAATTCGGATGGGCCTCCCACGACTTCCAGTTCCCAGAGGAAGTGTGTTTCCCTCCAGTGAAAAGCTCCGTCGCCACACTGCAGAGCAGGGACCCAGAGACGGTGCCTTCCCCAGACGCCCATCTCTCTCCCCCCCTGGCTTCGGGGTGGTTCCCGAGTCCACTGTGGAGGCTCGCCAAGCATAAACCAAGGGGCAAAGCCGAGGCTCTAGCATTCGGAGCTCTGGCGAGGCTGGCAGTGCCAGCTCTGCTGGACAAGGCTGCCGCCCTCATCGGCCTGCAGCATCCAACTCCCTCACTAGAGGCCAGCAGAGACCTGGTCCGAGGAGGCCGCAGCCGGCATCAGACTGCTGCGTGGT